TTGAAAGTACGATGATTCCTATTATATTGTACATAATTAATAAATTATTAATCACTTAATTCTTTCAAATTCCCTTTTCTATCATACAAACATAAAGCCCTATTTTAGAAACTTCATTGCCCAAAATTCGTTCGAATAAAAACATTACGATTACAAAGGATCTCCTATCTCAAACAAGATCGATCGGAAAATCATTCATGGAAGTAGGATCAAATCGAAAAATCCTCGCTATCATATAACGGAAGAGGTCTGGCGGGGCTGTCGCTTCGTAGCCAAGAAAGCACAACCGATGTTGCGTTTGTCTCTCTTTCCACGGCGTAGTTTGAATATTCAGTGGTTTTCGTGGCTAAAAGGGGCGAAGGGCGAACAGACCTACGAGGATGAGAACGAGAATGAGAAAGAGAAAGGGCCGCGCGAAGGAAATCCAGAGGCACGAGGGATAAGCCAGCTAGAATCTGGTGTACATCCCCGTTTAGCAATTAGCATCTTGTATTTCGAAGCCGGAGTTTCCTCCGGATGGAGCCGTAGGAAGAAAGCAGAGCTGAGTCACGAAGTCAGCCCCTTGCTTTCCTGCCAGTCGTCCCTGAATATCGTTAGCTTCGGCGAATTTAATTCGGTGGTCGTAATTTAGCACGCATTAGTGATGTTCCACGGTGAAATTCCGCACGATGTTCGCTATTCGACGGCACGATTAATTTCTAGTTGAACTTTGTTTTCCTCGTCGAGAACAGGCTGTGCTGCTTCTTTGTCGGTTTCTATACCTGTACTCTTGTTTTGTTGCTTTGTAGGATACAACGGGGACAAATGAGGGGTTGAACTCTCACCGATGAAAGAGGAATGCATAGTTGTTGTTTTTCAATTTAAACAGGTTAAGGGGAACGAAGAATAGAAAGTATAAATATAAAAAATTATGTAAATATCCAGTAGAATAGAACGTATTAAACATAGATAAAACATATTAGCGTTAATATATTTTAACATCTCTATGTAATAAACAGGAAATACGAGGATAACTAGTAGAATTATTCGATGCTCGGAAAAAATTGTATTCTTTGTTATTGAAATTAAATACCTCGGCACATAAATGTTCTTAAATCTTGTAGTTTAATTAATTACTAATAGTAATAATTAAGTAATACTAGTAAGTAATTACTAAGTAATAATTAATTTAATTGTGTTCTGGTATTACATATAAAAAGAAATAAACGACAAAAATTTGACTCTCTTATATATTTTAGAAAATTTATTAATTTAAACATTATCTTTAATTCTCGAGTCAATATATACGATTCAAACTTACGCACAATTTTTATTTAAAATAATTTTTAATATTATTTTTTTTTTTTTTTTTGGTTGTAATGTAGCGAATGCGGGAGATCTCGCCACATTCTCATCACTTTTCTCACGTTTTGACACCTCGATCGAATAGTCAGATAGAAGAGCTTGACATTTGACCCGTCAGACGGAATCGAGCTTGTGGTTGAAGCTTGCTCTTTTTCCGTTACCGGAAACGCTAGTAACCAGAAACGATCGACAAAGAACGTCCCAAATTTCCAACCCGAACCACGATCTGCTATCCATGAATTCTGACTTACACGTGTCTATGTCACACGCGTGCACCCTTGTCCGAACACATACGATCATTCGAGGAACATGCATACGTGTGCAATGTATGCAATGTATACCGTGAATCAGGTATCCGCGTGATTTAATCACATCGCTTTGTCTGGACGAAGCTGTTTCCGGTATCGAATTATCCGAGAATCGCGTAGCGCGATGTAATTGATTGTTGCCGTGCGTTTGTATGTCGTTTGCGTTTATTGGCGTATTATTTTTCGTATAATTTTCAGTTAGACGGAATAGTACTGGGTTTTAGCTTGAAAAACTAACAATTATAATTTAGTACATATATATTCAATACATTAACAAATTATCATTAATTGAACATTATAGTTATCGTCTCCAAAATCATATAGAAAATACCTAGATACACAATGTACGTATATAATTCTCAAACAGTAAATGTTTTCGATGAATATCGAAGATCTTTAACAAACTATTACCAAACCGCAGGATGATAAATTAATTACGCAACACAAAGTAAAAAAGAAATTACCTAGTCCTTACTTCTTCGACATCATGTTTATTCCTCTGTCTATTATCCAAGAAATGAAACACTTTTACCAAATTCATATCTATTTTTTCAACCACGGTAATACCATCTCCTCGATTCGATCCAATTTCAAAACCTCTTCAACGCGATTCCCATCCGAAAAAGGGATCTCTTTTGGCGAAGGAAAGCCCGTAACATAGGTTGAAGCGTGAAACGTGATCACGGGATCGCAGATCGCAAAATAATCGAATTGTCGAGCGTTCGATCAGCGACGCGGAGCGATACAGCGGTTGTACACAGAGGTGGGCTACGGTTCCGTGACGCTGAAAGCATGTACCAAAGTCCCTTTTAGCGGTGCTTTCAACGCTTTTCCCGCCGAAGCTGTTCTGGCTCGTTCAAATATTAAAATAAGCGAGCGGGAGAAGCGGAAACATGCTCCAGCTTACAAAAGGAGATTTTCTACTTTGCCGTGACCCGGCGTTCTTCTCCGCGCAAGGAGAAAAAGAAAGGGAAGCCAGGAAGGGAGGCAAAAGGGGTTGATAGACGGAGGGTGGAAGCGTTCCGCGTTCCTTCAACCGCCTTTCGCTTCAGAGGCAAAACAAATTTGCAAACGGAAAGACACGGGCTACGCTTCCGTCTAACTGATCCTCTGGTTATTCGTTCGCGTATGAGAAGAACGGAGATGAATCTTCGTGAATATCTCACGAGACAATATACTCTTTTGGTGAAAAAGATAAAGAAGAGGTATATGAGACATCAAGGTTTTCATCTGTACGTAATATTAATATCTTTGACAATTGTTGGAAATCTAAGGAAAGATACGACGTTCGAGTCTTTTTAGAAACGTAAAATATCAACTCAGAATTAGCACAGAATTAGAGTATCCTTTGAGCTAATTTCTATCAATACGATAATTACTATAAAATAGACAGCAATAGAGAGTTTCGTATAAATAACTGTAATTTTAATTTACTAATAGTAGTTTCTTTTCTCTACGTACATGTGACCCTATCGCACTATATTTCCTTCCGTTTATTTTCCATGTTTTCGTTTCAAATGTATCTTCCCTATATACGAGATATCTGAAATTTGACAAAATTCTTATCGACACGCGTGATCTTTTGTTTTACTTTTACGTTAAACATCTTGAAATAATACAGATCTTCTTGTTCGTTAAAATGAATAAAAATTGGAAAATTATTTTCTCGAAGGCGAGATTGAAATGTTCGATCGAAAATGAAATTCGAGGATCGTTGCAGAGTTAATATCAAATTACAAATGGTTTAAAATTCTAGATGTTTGCACTCTCCGTTAGATCGACGAAGATACCTACGGATCGTACAAGACTCTAGCTACGACTATATCAATCGATGTATCCTGATAACACTTTCATTTATAATTTGACTATATCCTTTTTATTAAACGTACGCTTGGGGGAAAACGTCTCCTTCACGACGCGACGCTGCGCAACTACATACACTTTGATTCTATTTTAATACCGCGAACGATCAACACCGCGGTTTGCGTCATTTTATATTTGACTTGCTGATTCGTGGAATAACATGATTCCACGAATCGCCAACATTTTTAGAATATCGACGAACCGATGACGCGTGAGAATGGTTCGACGTTAAACAGCAATTCCGTTTCGCTAGGGGAGCAAGCAAGAATGGTTGTTAGGGCGAGACCGGTTAAATTAGCTTGACAATATTTGAAGACAATATTTACTTACCAATGTTTTAGAGTTAATGGCTGATACAATTGAATTTCGAATATTGTAGAGTGGAGTGGAAAAATATGTATTGTGTACAGTGTTTCTTGGGCACGTGCCATCGTGTTGACAAATGATTATTTTTCGCCTCTTTTGATGTTGACAAAAAGACACCTAAATTACATTAATTTGTTAGTAATTATATACGTCTCTTTCTTACACTTTTTCATTGAAAGATGACAAAGAAACTTGAGATTATCACGGAACTATTGTAAATTATAAAGTATATTTTTCTGGGAAATATTTATTAATCAGAAATGAATATTATATTAATATTGTGATATCGTAAATAGTAATTTTATCGTTTATTGTTTTATATTGACAAATTACATTATTTCGGTTTATAAACAACTTAAATTCGCTTTCGTAATATATTAATTTAGGTAATTTAGCACTTAATAACTTAATATTCCATCTCCATAACAAAAATTCGTATTATAAATACAAAAATCATATGTTTATCATAAATACAATTTTTTCCGAGAAATAATTCTTACATGAACTTCTCTTCCATGCAATTTCCTTGTTTCTAATGTAATTGTATACACTATACGCGTTCGAACAATAATTAATGTAATTAAGTGAAAAAAAGAGAAAATTTTATCTTAACGTGGGTTTCTAAAATCTGATGAATTCTTAAAAAATCAGTTACGTTCCACAGAATAAAAGAGTTGTGTGTATTTATAGTTTAATATTATGTTTCATAAAAGATTTTTAATCTGTCAATATGAAATGCAACGAGAATACACTTCCTTTTCCTCTTTCCATCATAAAAGAGGAAAAAGAAACCGTGAGCAAAGAACAGCGTAAAAACATATACGGCGAAGCATTATCGACGCGGCAATCTCCTACTGCTCGTCAATTTTTCTTATTGCTGGATGTGCATTTTACATTGTTGTACACGTAGTGGAAGGACACGGAACGCATTCAGCATGTTTATCGGTATAACAAATCAAGTCTCATTTGAGAAATGGATCGTCACGCCGGTGTGCTGTGCGCGCGGGGTTCGTCTTCTCTCGCGCGGATAATATTAAAAATATCACGTGCACGTGTACAAGCTGGCCGGCTCGTACGGATAGAGTCATTTTATCGTTTCTTTTCTTTTGTATGTTGCAGGTACGTTCAGTGCATTTCTCAGCGGGCCGACACCGCTAGTCCTGGCGATCGTGCTATTCTCACTGCGATCACGTATGTATCTTTGCACGTGTACAGCGTGTCGATATTAATAATGAATGAAGCTGTTGCATATACGGCTCGTCTCGTTCGCTCGAAATTCGCGCATGATCTCTTCTCCCGGTCGCTTCAATCCTTCTCTCCTCCTATTGCACGATTATTATGTGCATATTTCATTTCTTTTCCGTAGCCTGCCCGTCTGGAAAAATATCGTTCCCAGGCTGGAATACCGCTTGAATAACGCAATTACAACTATTGATACGATTTTCTTCTCGAATAGTTTTGTTTTTTTTTCTCTTCATTTCTTTTTGCCCCCGCATTTTATTATTTCTTCCTTCTGCTTTTATCTTGGTAACACATTTGTTCTCATTGCCTCGGTTAATTGATTTCAAAAGCGTCCCCTTCTGGTGGTTATAAAGATGGATTTTTAAAAATTTCCAATTCTAAAATTGATATTTGGCTGGAACAAATTCCAATTTAAATAGTATCGCTGCGATTTTCAACGGAGGAAAGATTCGCGTTCGAAAACCAGCAAATAGATCGAACGTGATAGAACGTTAGGTATTTCGATAGATTTTTTTCTTTTAAAACTCTGTCGGACTGTAGTAAAACGGTTTTATAGCGGAGTGGCACTAAAAGGGAGAATAGAATACCACTACGAGGGCGCTTTGTTGGGGAAAGGTTACAGATGAAGTGGAATTTATCTAAAATTTAATTTCTGTTCCAAATAATGGAAACAGAAAACGTATAGAAGGTACACAAGTTAGAAAGAAAGATTACGTAACGGAGTAATGCGTAAAGATGTTTTGTTGATAAAATTTGAATAATGTATACGCGAGCTTACATGTTGTTTCGTCGAAGCACAGAAAATGTATTTGATTATAGTATATTTTAATAGCTCACTATAACATCAACAAGATAGAGAAAAGGAAATTATGATAACGACGTAAGTACTTCAATTTCTTCTAGACAGAAATGGCGACGGAAAAGATATCAAGCAAACCCTTGGAATTTTCTCCAACCATAATCTTCGGAAACAAAATTCAAGGATGTACATTAACTGGGAAGATTTCGAATAAAACGTCGCATAAATAACATTGGTCTTTAACGAGTTAAAAGAATATATGCAGCTAATTTGAGAAAAAGGCTGCAAAATTTATCAAATTATTCTTCTAACTATGCATATATACATTTTCGTTGTTACTAAAATCCTGAAAAGAGAAGGTGATAAATAAGTCAGCGCTATTAAAACTAGCAATGTTCAAACCCATACTCTCGGACTGTTCAAACCTTTAAAAAAACAAGGCTAATAAATTTGAACACCGCTGGATAGAAAAATGAAAGTAAAAGAGAGAAGATAATACGTTTACTCTGTCCATACATACATATTCTCCATAGGATTGTCAAATCTTCATAATGAATTAACCGATCCTCCCCAGTGAGTAGACGTTTTTAAATGGCGAGCGAGTCTACCCTCTTGGTGGATTAACATAAAAATAAAAAATAAAAAAAAAAAGGCACGATGGAAAAATGCAGATCGTCGCGTTTTCACGGGAAATTTGCATGCGAAGCGTAAAATTTCTCTACGACCAAACGGCAACCACTCGGTTTCGCTGAATTCGATTCCCTTATCAGTTTGATCCCCTATTTTCGCGTCGTGGAAAATCAAGGTGAAGCGGGAACGCGGCTAGGGGAATCGCGACACGGTGATTTAAAACGGCAGAATAGTCGATGGCGAGTGCAGGGTCGTGGAGCGAGGAGGAAAGAAGATTATAAGTGTCGCGTTCCATTTACTACTCTTCTCCTGTTTTATCCAAAGAGGTTTTTTACGCTCGACTCGAGCTCCAGCTCCGGGCAATATCCATAACAAAGTCCTTCAGTCCTTCTTGTCTGCTCATTTTCCCAGGGACCCGTTAAATAAATCGCCCGTAAAAAAGAGACAGTTTGTTTTAAATTTCCAGTAAATTGGTGGAAAACCGTCCGTTCGTCGATGTTACTTGTGAAAATCGTTTACGTTTGTCGTTCGTTTTACCAGCAGCATATACATTCACGATAATATCGATAGAAATTCCATATTTTTCCCCTTTCCTTTTTCATAATGTATTTGTATTGAATATTTATTGCAAACAAAAAAAAAAAAAAAAAAAAAAAAAAGAAAAAAAAAAAAAAAGAAACGGAAAGGCGAAGATTAAAGTACAGCTGGTAACAAGATACGGTAACGTTCTCTTCGTCTCTGCTGTTCTTCGTCGAAACTACTATTTCTCAGAATTCTCTTATTAATGCGAAAAAGATACTTAAAATAGCGAAGGCAAAGGGGAGCAAAGGAAAGAACGAATACGATGGTCAATACATAGTACCGGCAATGTAATTGTAATGCCTGGTACAACAACGATATTTTAAACTGACGATTTAATTATACCGTAGAGGGGAAATTTTCCGAGGTATTGCACGAGACGACGTAAACTTTAATTCGAATGCACAATTTTGCATTTCATTCTTTTACTGTCATTTTAGTATTTTTCTGTACTTTTCTTTCTCCTTCTTCTTTATTATTATTGTTAACGTGAAATATATAAGATAACGATTGTAAATATTCTAAATAACTTTCAAATTCTAAGGAAGATGAAGTATTGTTTTAATGAATATTCGTATATATTACAATTGGGCCAAAATTTCAACAAAATATTTCTTCTAAATAGCGTAATTTCTAAGATCTCATCCATCCGATCTAAGACGAAACGGAATAAAAGCACGATCGCGAAATGTCAAGCAATAAGTTGAAAATTTATTCAAAACCACTGAACAGTATCATAAGTATCATCAACATGGAAAAAGTGAGAACGAGCAACTATCAATCTCCGTCACGGAGCTACACGAACGTCAGACGTTCTTTCTTCAGTAGGATGCGAAGAAAAGTCTCGCGTTCGCAGTCGCTGTCATCCCCAAGTCCTTTATCATCTTTCCTGTACGAAAAGCGAATCGACCCTGCGTATCGTTGAACACATTTGTTTATCTTCCCTAGCTCTAATACATCGCTGTAAACACTTAAATCGGGCGTGCAAACAGGCGAAACAAAAACACCAGCACGCCCTTTCCCCGCTATGTTATCCAGGGGATGATCAAAGCACACCTTCAGCTTGCGAAGCTTTTTAGAAATCGCTTTTATCTCACGGTGCTCTGTCGTTCAAATCGACGAACGTCATTCGTATTTGTCCTCGCCCTTTGTCCACGAAGAAGTGGCTTCCAGCAGCCAGTCAGAAGTGGTAATACACTATGGCTTCAGGCTGGACAGTTCCGTCGATTTCCTTCTCGGGGGTGAAAGTGGGACCGGCTACAGGCTGCTTTCACCAGAGAGTGTCTCTCTGTTTTTCTGTTTACGCGCCGCGAGAATCGCTCGAAGAAGCCAGGGGATGCTGCCTGGATATCTAACCGTATCCTCTCTGGTAAATACGAGGGTTATCTGACCTCTTCTACCGGTATTTTGTTGGCACTGCTCCTCGTTGGCGTTGATCACTGGCGTTCAACTGCTCTTTTGTCGCTTCCATTTCTTCTCTCGACCATAGATACACAATATTGAGCGAATCGACGATTCTGGCGTTCCTTTTGTTTGATTCGGTTTGATTTCCTGTTCGAATTAGATCATATCTTGACCATTGGAGCACGAAGTATTTATTTTTCATAATTTTCCACCAGGGTTGGGAAATAAGTATGTATTTTAATTAATTCGTCCGTTGACTTTATTAAATTTGACTGATTCAATGTCCAATGGTATTGCACGGTATTACGTAAAAGTGGAAAATGTATTTTCACGCCTCTATCAGTACTTTTTCATACGTAAAAGATGTCACAAGGAATGTCACAAAATAGACTTTTTTTCTTCAGAAAATTAAATGTTACTCTTTGATCCTTCAGTAAAGGAACATGGTTAAATAAAGTTGAATGCAATTATTAGTTGTAATATGCAGTTTATATCCTTATTAAACATTAGGAGAAAATCAATACGAAATCTGAATTTTGAACGAAACAGGTACACAGTATAATTCTGATCTTCTGGTAGTTTATCGAATCGCAGGTTGCACTAAAGTTGACACAGGCAGTTAGTTAGGTTTAGTCTTTCGGTTTACGTACTGTACATTGTTCTTAGATATGAATTTCCAGGAAATATCCTTACCACCATTGATGGTTGAGGGAGCGAAGTTGGGATGTGATTTCGTAATTAAATGATCCGGGTTGGAATTATGTGCACTTCACTAAATGAATGGAGGGTAAGGTAGACTCGACAATTTGGAAGGTGATTTATGACCGCACACTAAAGGGAATTGTATTAGCGTTGGAGGTGCTATATGTGTCAAACAGTTAATAATGTTTAAAGTCTAAAGTTGATTATATCAAAGTTGTTTTCAACACCACAAATTATCTCACATTCTAACTATTATTACATCGCCATTTAGCTAGTAGAATGACTAAACTGAAAGACGTCAATTTTTCAGGAAATACTTTTGAGATAGAGAACTTAAGATAGCAAATTATTAATTATTCAATCATATAGCAACGAACGATTTGTTATTGGATTTAATCAATAATCTTTGGTTGTTGAGTCTCTGTACACACATTCGCTATGAGCGTTATATAAGTAGACGTTTAAAAATTAATTTATATTTTGGTTTTAAGCTGTAAAATGAATGAACGTATAACTGATGTTCTCAGTTTATTTTAAAAGGTATATTAAAAAGGTATATTATTAAAAAAAGAGTTAAAACAACCCTATTTTGAATTGTAATCCTGTTCTTCTTAGATACGCGGTATAATCTTATTAAAAACTATATTGATCTTATTATTTTGTTCGAACAAATATAAAGTTGTTGATTTTTACATTTATTACTCTTCCATATAATAAAGTTGTAACCCTCAACTATGTAGACTGTACACTGATTAGTAGAACACACGATGAAAAAAGTTTGTACGCCATCGAGAAGGATAATCCAAAGATGGTCTTCTAGGAGTTCTGTTAGAAC